TGTAACATAAAGGAGGGTGTGGTCTCTATGGCATGTAACAGGAGGGTGTGGTCTCTATGGCATGTAACATAAAAGAGGGTGTGGTTCTCTACAGGTATTTGAAAACTGCCCTTGTACCATCTCCTCTCTGGGTGAAACATCCCCAGCTCCATCATATGCTCCATAAGTAACTTGTTCTGACAGGCCACTAAGTCCCCTCATCCTGCTGGCCACTCAGAATGACACTATCTGAACAAGTGACAGACAGTACACACCAGGGAGGGCAAAGCAGGATGAATGGCTTCCAAAACCAAAGGGCCACTCTTGCCACTGAGCGTTGCATCTCCTCTTCCCCCTTTAGAGGGCCATCGGATGCTGGTGCACACTAAGAAAGGAAAAAAATCGTAGTTACTGAACACTGTCCATATTTATTAAGAAGCTGCACGCTGTGTTCAGCTCCTGGATGTATTCACCAAGTTATAGTACCTAATATCTAGCCCTCATCTTTATATAGCTAACATATTCCAGAACTGGGAATATGGGCGTTCTAGCCATGAAATTTTCTTGAGTCTGTGTTGTTACTAAATGTTTCTGCAGATCGTATATTCTACAATTTAGCTTGCCTATTTCATCTCTAGGGTTCAAAAAGTTAAAGGTCTCCCATTGCCTTGCAAACTTCTTATTCTTGAATGCTAGTTTTCCTCTCCTGGGTCTGACAGTCCTGTCATCTGTGGATTTATTTAGTTGTCTATTTTTATCCCTGTATCTTCATGATAAATAGAAAAGCAGGATGCTCTTGGACAGCTGCTGGAACCTTCTAGATTGACATCGGTCTGCTGATCACTCATTAAATGATTAACTATGCACTGATCCACTGCCACTGGCCTCTGATTGTTTCATTGTTGGGGGCATCATGAAACCTGTGACGCCGGTTTGACTGGACTATCTACCACATCACATGGAGTCATATATATGAAAAATGGTGGCTTGTATGACCCACCAGTTCCCCAAAACTTTGCCCTCATTCTATGACAAAGTATTGACGTGGACTGCCAACATTTGCTTTGTATTTCAAAGGCATTGCTTGTTATGCCCCTTCCAGTCTTCCCAAACATGCAGGACCACTCCATATGCACTGACAAGGCTCAGCAGGGATCAGCATTCAGCTTCACGCTAAAGGGCAGTCCAGCCGAGGAAAGCCTACACTTAGCTGAATGCCATCTTCTGTTAACTCTGTGCACCCAGAGTATTGGCTCTTATTCATCCCATACTTAATTCTGTTTGATCACAAAAGCGTTCCTCTTGACAAAGTATACGACGGTACAGAGGCTGGCAGGTGTCCTTTCCTGTCATTCCCATCCAGGTGTCAGTAGTCCTGTGCACTCCTAGGCCATTCTTCCTGCATCCTCAAGTCCACAGCGCAGCCAGCCTTCCTTTCAAGCTCCATTCCTTTTTGTGAAGTGCTTTTGTGTATTTCAGTTCATACCCCCGTACCGCTTTCTTATCAGCTTACAGGAAAGCAACTCACAGTCTATCCTAAGCCTCGGCTTCTTCCTCGTTCCTTATTCCTGTTAATAGGGACACTATTCCATGACAATTGGACTTAAATCTTAAGATTTTTAGGACACGTGATTATTTCTTGGGGAAGGGCACTCATGTGGCATTTCCACATCCCACAGGAACCTTTGCTTTCTTTCCATCCTGCAGTCCCTGGAATGGAACTCAGGTTGTCAGGATTTTCAGCCCAGCCAGCCATCTCAGAGGCCCTACTTTTTAAAGTCATTGACGCCTTTTCTCTTTTTGTGTCCCCTGGAATTACATTCAGTAATGACAGAAGCCTGGCCACTCTGGCTTAAGCAATAGGATATTTTCTCACCAACAGGAAGCCCATGGTGGTCAACCCAGAGCATAGGGACCTTCTCATGGAATAGGACTGCCCTGTCCTCTGGCTCCACCTCTTCAGGAAGCAGGTGAAGATACCAGGGTATCACTGTCTTCCAGTGCCAGCCCCTGGACAATGGCTTTTATGCATTGGTTATAAGGTGGTGCACGCATTTTAGAGAGGAAAGCATGAAAGACACAGGGACATGCCAACCTCAGTGTCCTCTGTAAGGCGATTTCCATTTAAGGAGAAGGGCAGGAAGGCTCACAGCCAAGTCTCTGTTTTCTAGATTCTATCTATGAGGGGCCAACCTAGAACCTCAGACCGAAAGTACCCAGTGCTGGTTAGTTTTAATTATCAGTATGACCCAATCTAGAATCACCTGGGATGGAGGTGTCAGTGAGGGACTGCATAGAGCCAGTAGGCCTTCTGTATGTCCATAGAGAATTATCTTCAGTATTCTCATTGATGCAGAAAGAGCCAGCCCAGTGCTGAATGGTACCATTCTTTGGATTTGGGTCCTGTAGATTATTTAAAATAGAGAATGGGAGCTGAGCAGCCTGTAGGTGTGCATGTATTTATTCTCTTTCTATTCTTGACTGTGGAGGTAGCTAGCTGCTTCAAGTTCTTCCTGTCTTTTCTTCTCTTTGGGGATGGGGTTGGGGGAGGAAGTGCTGGGTAGCTGGGTTGGATCTTGTGCATGCTGCCCCTGTACTCCACCACCAACCTATATCCCCAACCTCTTTACAGTACCTCATCTGTGTTTGTGTATGTTAAGATACACAAGTGGTAACCATCATCCCTCTACAGTTAACAGTATCCAGTATAGTAGCATGTGGAACACATCTGTTGCCCATGAAGAAAAGCCGCACTAGTAGGCTAGAACATGTAGATTCTTGTATGTATGTCCTATGATGTCCACCCAGTGACAGTTACCCGTGGCTTCATTTCTCAGAGCATGTCTTGACATTCAGTAACACCTGACTGTAAAAGGAAAGACCCTTGAAAACTTACTGCCCGATGCAATTGCTCAAGGAAATCTTAGGTAATTTAAGACTCTGACTTTGTGGCTGACTTTGTTTTTCACCACAGAATCCAGTCAGCACACTGGGCCATAAGGGAGCCCGGAGACGATGGGGTCAGACGGTCTTCAAGTCTGGAGACAGCTGTGATGACACTGAGGATGACTTGGGAGCCTCCCACTCCAAGAAGGCGAGCATGGATGCCTTCAAGGAAAAGAAGAAGAAGGAGTCTCCATTTCGGTAAGTTTGCACATTCTCCAGGGAGATGTATTTTACTGCACATTAAATGTATGTACTTCACCCATTAAATACAATGACAAAGATCAGTCCTTTCTTCTACAATACCCAGATATCTTTATAAATACCTCCAGAAAATAGTGGTGTGTGTAGAGCAAAGTACTTATTCAGTCTTTATATTGCTCTTACGTTTTGTTGTTGTTGTGTTGCTGTTGTTGTGTTGTTGTTGTGTTGTTGTTGTTGTGTTGTTGTTGTTGAGGCATTATCTAGCTATGTTGCCCAGGCAGGTCTCAAACTTGTAGACTGGAGTAGTCCTCCCTCTGTGTCTCCTTGAGTGGCTGGGACCACAGTACACGCCAGCCACACCCAGCACACTGCGGTGAATTGTGATCGTCACCATTCCTGTCTAAAGTTCACACTCCTGCTTGTGGAATGCCGAGGACCATATACAAAGCCCGTGGTTTTCTCTGATGGCATCAAGAGTTCATTATTAGATTGCTGCCTATTAACACATTTGAAAGTCATTTTAGAAACCTGTCCTGGAAGTTCAGTATCCAGCAGCTCCTTGTTCTCAGGAGTCGGGCCATCATTAGCCCACCACTCTGACTGCTCTGAATAGGATGGGCTGAATCTTGTTTAACATCTTGAGAACATGCTTTCAAGTACTTTTCTCCCTGAAACAGAAGAAGAGTAAGAAGGACAGCCATGTCACAAGTCTGGAAAACACTTGCATTGCGTAATGCAGACATCTTTCCTTTACAGATTGTATACCTGATGACACATTAAAAAAAAAAATCTATCAAGAACACACAGGGGTAGGCCACTCCCTCTGAAGTCACATGGAGACTGTCAAGGGTACACATGGGTGGATGACTCTCAGTCTCTAGCTCCCAAGCTAGTCGAATACATTATCTTCCCTATGACACTTGACCTTAGGAAGAACCTCATTCAATCCCATTAGGCAGGAGCCATACTACTCGACCATGCTAGGTCTTGTATGGTCCTTGGATATAATTCTGAGGTACTAAACATGGTGGAAGTGAGAACCCTGTCATAGGAACCTAAAGAGGCTCTGTTGGAGCTCCTTACACATCCTTCCTTTAAGGAGCAAACCTATAAAACATATTGCTGACACCTATAGTCCCAGCTAATTTGGAGTCTGAGGAAAAAAGAAACAAAAGTTTAAAGCCAGCCTGGATTATACAGTTGATATCTGGTCTCAAAAACAAAACAAAACAACTGAAAACCCACCCCACAAAATCAGACCAAAACAATAACAACAATAAAACAAAACAAGAAAAACAACCAAACAAAAGAAAAACCAGATGACACTTGCCTGTAATTCCAGCACTTGGGAAATGGGACAAGGGGATCAGAGGTCAGGACTTTAAGTCCACTTACCTACATCGTGAGCTCAAAGAGTCACATCCTAAAGTAATAACAGCTACAATAACAACACACACACACGCACACACAGTCTCAATGTAGCACACGTGTAGCACACAATGTAATTCTAGCTACTTCGGAGGATAAGGACCACAAGTTCAGTGCCAACCTGGGCAACTTAAGGGGCATCTTTTCTCCAAATGAAAAAGAAGCTGGAGGTGTGGCTCAGTGTAGAGTGTTTGTCGTGTATGTCCAAGAGCCTGGTTCAGTCCTCTGAGAGAGAGGTAGATGGATGACAGGGCCTGAGTAGATTTTCCGTAAGTAGTAAAACTACAGCTCAATAAGAGGAAGGGCAAGAAGCCAGAAATGGTGACCCATCCCCAGTAAAACAGTGCTGCCTGTATCAAGAGCTCCCCGAGAGTGCACAGCCCAAGTCCTGCCCAACTCAGGCTGTCTAAGGATAGAAATGACTTTAGTAGCAGGTAGAGACAGCTATGACTGCTATGTGGTCCTCCAGCATTATGACTCCATGGCTGTAGTAAATCCAGAAGAGGCGAATTGGATTACACACTCATAAACTCCTCTAGAGGTTCTGCCACAACCTGTCTAGTGTCAGAAATGACTCCCTGTGCTGGAAGAGATGTGGTGGGCATTATCATTTAGCAATCTCAACAACAAAAGGACTCGTGGTTTTACATCAGCTCATTTGAATAACTGAAGGAGATGGGGAGGGGGAGGAATGATTTTCATGCAATGATTGGTGCTTTGTGTTGACCTCCAAGGTTGCCAGAGTCAGGACTCCCAGTCTCCAACTACTTGAAGGGGGAAAACAGGAATTTACATGCATCTGTTCCCTTAAAATCTGATACAAACTTGACAAGTGCTTCAACGGCTAAGCAGTACTATTTGAAACAATCAAGATACCTTCCAGGTAAGTAAAGAAAATTTACCCTTTAATCCCAGTACTCAGAAAATGGCAGTGGGAGAACTGGGAATTCCAGGCCAACCTGAGCCATTTGATACCCTGGTTCAAGACAACAAATGTTTGCTGCTAACCAGAGTATTGCTAGGGCAGAGTAAAGGGCCTTGGTATCTATAAAAAGATGGCACTGGGGAAGGAGAAAACAGAGTTCCAGGACCTTAGCAGCTGTCCCTGTTGTCATAATGATCATCATTCTGCTTCCCTAAAGCCTGGCCAAAGATGTGCATTTATTAAGAACTCAATTTTATTAAAGCAACTAGGCACCCTATTACAAGTGCAAATTTAAAGAATATATTGTTTCCTAAATGGCATACTGTATGTATTTATTTACAAGCGTCTTCTGGATGCTGGAAAGAACAGGCTAGAGACTTAGATAGGCAAAGAGGCTGGTCACGGTGTTATTGCATGTGTCCAGAGTAGAGGCAGCAGAGATAGAAGTAGGTACAGTGCAGATGTGGCGGACAGTGGGCCTTGCTGGTAGGTAAGCCTAGGTGAAGATACAGAATGAGAGGAATTAGTGGGTTTGCATGTAGGTGGAAGTGATCCCTTGCAGATGTAGACACTGATTATTTGAGAGAGGAGGGGTGGGGTGGGGATGAAGTCCTTCAGGAAGTGAGAGGAGCTGAAAGGAAGCGTTGAGGTTTCTGCTGTAGAAAGGAGCACATGGGATTCTTTAGGTACCAGCAGCTTTGTAAAGCTTGGAACTGAACTAAGAGCATCCCAGGCTGACAGCAAGAGCATGGAGGTAACAGGTGTTACTGAACACAGACCCACAGGGAATACTGTTGAAAAGAGTGTAAAGAGCATTTGAATGACTGAAGTTTAGCAAACCAGTATTTCATTTTGTGTCATGTATAGAAGGGCTCCTGCCCTCTGGTGGTAGAAGTGGCTCACCATAAGTCACTGGCAAAGGCTTGGTGGCTCAGCGCACCCCCATCTCCATGCATCCACTTCCCAATATGGCTTTTAAGGATCTATGTCAAGCTGTTAGACCACGCCTCTCATTTCCTTTTTGAGAAGAAAGACCTAACAGACGCCACAGGGCACTTCACACAGGTAGTACAGCTGTAAAGGAGGTCTGAAAACTGGACTTGAAATAGCAAAAGAATTGTTTATAACTCAACCTGAGCCTGGAGCAGGCTTGACTCTGTCCTGAAGATCTTCCCTCAATCTGGATGAGGCTGGGTTAAGTTGAAGCATTTGGACAAACAGTTATTGATTCTCTGTTATGAACCAGTAACTCTGAGTTAGCAGACAATGAATACAAGAGAAAGCCATTGTTGGTGCTTACTTTGACTCAAATTTTTGTTTGTTTGTTTGTTTGTTTATTTTTTAAGCAGAATTTCTCCATGTAGCCCCTGACAGTCCTGAAACTCCATCTGTAGACCAATCCAGCCACAAACTCAGAGATCCAACTGCCTCTGCCTCCTAAGCACTGGGTTTAAAGGCGTGTTACACCCAGCTTCCATAATTGTTCTTATAATTGGGTATCTTAAGACTAAGAAAGAATAGTACATGGAGAACCTACTTTTTAAACCTAGAGCCAATTACATGAAAAGTCTTAGATTAACCCTCAGGATTATAGGGGTCATATAGATACCATATGGTTGCCAAGAAAGCCGGACATCATACGAGGATTGATAGATCTGTAGCAATGGCCTTCAAGGAAAGAGATGCAAGTGTTGTTGACGGGACCTGCCACAGATCAGAGTATGCACTAGCAGTCAGGCCTTGAGGTTCTGTCTATTGCTCATAATGGGACTGAGGCCATCTGACCTCTCACCCTATAAGCCTTAGGTACTTAATTACTGCTAGGTATCAGCTACAGATAAAGATGTAGTGAAAACACTAACAATTTCTCAGTCTCTCGGTGGTGCCTTCTGGTCTCACCCTAAAACCAGGACTCACTTCAGGAGCCAGTGTCACCACTGCTGGACATCAGAAGGACTTGTTCCACAGCACTTTACAAATCCTGCTCAGTGGAACCTCTCTCCCCCGCACTGAGCACTCACTCATCGTCCTTGCTGCCCTTTGAAATTCCCCGAGCTAGCCCCTTTTGATCCATTTTAACAAATGGCCACAGAACCTGCTCCCTGCCACTCTGTTCTTGCTGTGTCTGTGCTGTGCACCTCTTAGCTCCCTCTTTAGGTCCTCGGCTGACACTGATGTCACCCAGGAGCACACCACCAAACCTGGTTGTGATCATGATTTGACTAACTTAAAAATGGTTTTCTCACTAGTGTGATTTTAAGAGTGTGTCTGCGTGTCCTTGTGGGTTCTATCCTTCCACTGTGGAGATCACCGAGATCAAATTCAGATCTCCAGATTTACTTGGCAAGCACCTTTACCCACTGAGCCATCTCTCTGGCCCCAAATTGCTTTTTTAAGAGAAAGACTGCGTTCCTTCTGTTATTGACCTTCTCCAGACCAAATTTTTCTAAGCAGTTTGGCACGACTCATTATCCAGTGAATTATAAGTGTCATCCTCTACTGTAAGAGCCAAAAGAACAGAACTAGTCTGTCAGGTTCTCCACCCTTCCTCACGCACTGCCTGGCACATGGTATATGCACAGTCAGTGTTTGCTAATTGACATCTTAAAACATCACTGAAGCAAGAGATCATGGAGCAATGTATCATTAGTATATCAAACTGTATGTCTGCCTCTTCCTAGTTGGCATGTAGTGTCCAATCAAGGCTCATCCACTCATAATTTACAATTCTAGGATGTACCTGTTTCCTAGAATCTTTATCTTAGGAACTTGAATTAAAATAGTTACCTTCAATAGTGGATGCATTCACTTTAAGAAAAATACCTGCCCAGAGCTAATGAAGTCATGGAGGAGAACCTAAAGCCACCACTTTTCTAAACCACCATTATCTCTAATTACACTCTACGTGCTTGACCTTATACCCTCAGGTAAGTGTACCCTTGTCAAGAAAACGTCTCTTTGCAATAGACAGAGACCATTACAGAAAAACCACAACCAATCAAAATTCACAGTTGTGGATCTCCATTCGAATGGATACATCTACAACACAACTCCCACACCTAAAATTCAGGGGACGTTTCGGGAGAGGGGTGGAAAGACTGTAAGAGCCAGAGGCCCAGAGACCTTGTCTTCTAGTGATGTCAGAAGCTATAGCCATAAAGTCTCACCAGCATAGTTGCCTAAACATGAGCTGAGCAAAGACATCAACAGATATGCCAGAAGTGGGTTAGGGGGTCAAATGGAAGACTTTGCGGCCTCTACCAAAGAACTACAGGTGACTGAGGAGTGTTGAGAGGGGAGAAATAGCCTTCCTCGGGGAAAGGTACGCCAACTGGTTATCCCATACCAAATAGTCAGCTCCGCAAACATACGTATGAGTAACAATATGCAGACTGATGGAGTGGAACACACATATGTATACACGTACATATATGCATGCAACAATTAACAAGAAAGAGGTCATAAATTTGAAAGACTAAGGAAGGGAATATTGGAGGATTTGAAGACAGAAAAAGGAAGGGGAAACCATCCCATTATATTCTAAAAATATATATAATTATATGTAATATTTATATATTTTCATTATAATACCAAAAATAAAAGGAAAACAAACAAACAAAAACATGGGTTTTTTTCCTGAAATCTAGAGTAAACTTCTAAATGATTCAAGGCATCCTACAGGCTGTAAAATGCAGTTTTATCGGAGTGCCATTTTTTTGTTCAAATATTTAAGTATATAAAAGGTTGCTTTGGTTTGGTTTGGGTTGTTTGTTTGTGTGTGTGTTTCTTTTTGGTTTCTCCCTCTAGCCCTAGCTGTCCTGGAACTTGCTCTGTAGACCAAGCTAGCCCCAAACTCACAGGGATTCACCTGCCTGTGCCTCCTGAGTTCTGGAAAGGTTAAAGGCATGTGCCACTATGCCTGCCTTTATAAATAGAAATTTTTAAGACCAAAAAAAAAAACCTATTTAAGATTATTGCCATGGCTGCATTAACAAAATAATTAGAATATTAATAAGCCATTTTTTATTGAACAACAATTAGGAACACTATATGGACTATAGTGTAGATTCCCAATCTCTCCTACTCACATTTTCTTTTGTATGTATAGTGTATGTCCATGTGTATGCAGGTGCATGTGCTTGCGTATGCACATGTGGAACCCAGAGGCCCACCCACTCATCCATCCATCCACCCACTCATCCAGCTTACTTTTGGAGATGCTGAACCTGAGCTCACAAGTTGGTGAGACTGTCTAGCTAACAAGGCTCTGGAACCTTCCTAGAGCCACCTTGTGGTGCTGGGGTTACAGGTGCACACCACCGCAGCTGGCTTTTTTCGTAGGTGCCACTCAGAGCTGAGTAGCCAGTCGCAAACACACTCAGGATGTGTTCAAACCTTTCACAGCAGCAAGTAGAAAAGCTCCCTTTGACCACTAACACTGAAGCCGGTGATGGAACTGACATTTCAGACTTTGTATAATGTTACTAAAGCCACTCTCCTCCCCACATCTTCAGCACCTTTCCAGCCCCAGGTGGTAATGAGCTGTAGGCTTTTGCTATGTCTTTAGGTCACACCTTTCTTCCCTGGTATGCCAGCTGTTCACCAACAGTCTGCCCTGTAGGTGAGGGACATGGACCCATCATGGTTTTGATGGAAAAAAAAGTTCTTCCTCATTTATTTTTTCTTTCTCTCTCTTTTTAATGAGCTGTTTCGCAGGAGGGTCAAGGGTCTATTGCTGTTTGTATTACAGGAGATGAAGTGTGTACTGTCAGGATTCCAGGTTTGTGCTGAGAGCTCAGAATCTTGTTGGAGTTCACTAAAAAGGAGCAAACATTGGCTACAGATTAACTTACACTTATCACCAGCCTCCTGTCCACAGGATGTCCAGGCTTCGTGGAAACATACATCTTCCCTCGGGCTGACATTCACACTCTACTGCTTTGTTTTTCTCAGGTGTGAACCCCAAGAACGTATCTTTGGTAGCTGGAGGCAAGGATATAAATTCACACTCTTGGAATAATCAGCTCTTTCCTAAGTCACTGGGATCCATTGGGGCGGACCTTTCTTTCAAGAGGAGTAATGCAGGTAACAGATTTGAGTCACCTACCTATCGATGTCTGATGTCTGGTTGTAAATATACCACAGGCATGTCATCCAGCGGAGATCTGTATGGCACTAGGGGAGACACAGATCACACAAAAATTATCCGAAAAACTCTTGAGCATGGATATTTACAGTTTGTAAGCCTCTCACCTGCCACCAGGACCCATCCTACGTGGCTCTGCCTTCTGAGCAAACCTACCTTCAGATTTCCCACCTCCCAAACAGAAAGGACTTCTCATTCACTAAGTTGACCCCAAACATAAACTTGCCCGAGGTGTCAGTCAAAGGGACGGTTGGATATGTTGAGAAAGGAGGTAACCCTCAGGACTGAGGAGCTACTCCTTGCAAAACCTAGGTGTCTGCTGGAAAGACCAAGCATTTGAGGCCAGCCTGGGCTAGTACATGTAGAGACTGTGTTACCTCACACCACAAAGTCAAGGCGTTTCCAGTTTTTAGCATTTAGAAGATTAAAAGAGGATATCACTGAACTGTTTACTGACAGTGAATTTAAAAGGGTTGTCATAAATTACTACATATGTGTGGTCCATAAATCTGGAGCGCAGAGAATAGTAACAAAATGGTTCTCAGCAAAGTAGTCACATCAACAAGGTTTCCCCAGGCTTCTATCTACACAAATGAAAGTCAAGATGAGAGCTCTCTAGCTGAGTCTCAGAAACTCCTGTGCCAAACACTCACTTGCCGGCACATAGACAACTCATCACCCTATTAGCCTCTACTCCCAACAATACATACCTTCCGTGCCTAGTAATCAAAATGTATAATAGTTATCCTTTTTATTCATTATTCACAACAAATCATTATAATTGAGTAATATTGGAAACCGCACTACAGAAATCTACATTTTTTCCAATATACACAATTTTTCATGGTAGGTATATAGTTTTAAGCCTTAAGTTCTATTTGGATAAAATTTGGAAGCTAAAGTGTGATTTAGGGGTCGGGGTGAGTGTGAAACGTTCACCTGTGGAAAGGTGCTAGCCCATGTGCTCTTCATCCACACTGACAGACTCTGACTCATTATGACATTCAGATTCCATTTAAAAGAGAGATAAATTAGTTTTATAACATCTATGATGATGATGATGAAAATTTTAGATTTCACCTGGGAACTGTGTGAAGCATTGAGTTATTAAAAATGTGAGTACTGGGTTGGACAAGTTTGATGGTGGCAGTTACGGCACATGAGCAATCCAGTAAGCACTCTAACACCACATCAATATCCTGGATGTTCATATAAAACCCAACACTTATTTCAAACGTAGTAAGAGGGAGTTTATTCTTGAACCATGTATGAGTAACTATGGCTGGGAATTCTTGTTGCCCACACATTCCAAAAGTAGGTACATGAGATTTTATCAATTATGGAAGAAATTCACAATTCAAGACATTTGCCAAATACATTGAAGGGACCACAAG